CGACTTGGGTCTCGCGAGCGGAGCGAGCGGGGCCCGAGTCGGTGGGCGTTCACAGTGCCCAAGTGTCGTCAGGGTGAGCCGCTGGCCAAACTTTTAAGAAATGTTAGCGGTGCACAGTTAAGGTAGGAGTGAGCGAAGCGAGCTCGACTGAGCCCTTGTAAGATGTTAAAAAAAGTTTGAACTTCAGCAATAACAATTACAACACGCCAGATTGCGCCACGCTTTACTGAACAATTACTGATTAGTTTACCGGCACTTCAGTTTGCTGGATCATTCTTAACAACTTTACTTTTTTGCACTGTAAACTTTTGTAGTTTTGATAATACGTTTACAAAGAATTCTAACGTTTAAAAACGTAAATTTAATTTTGATAAAGTTTTAAGTGTGCACTTTAAATTACTGGAGTGCATTTGCGACTATGACCTTTGTGTTTTAATGAAACTGTTTACCTTTGCAAAAGGCAAAATGAGCTCAAATTCCACCAAATCGTCTTATTTTAATCAGGTGGTCATAAGTGTTCCCACATTTGTAACTAACTTCAACTTTACAAAACTGTCAGCAGTTATTTAATTACTTAAGAATGTGTACTTTTATTTGTATTACTTGGTAATACAGTCTAGTTTTGAGTGTGTAAATGTGTGATTATTTTTGTCTATTTTTATTCTCAAAAAGATTATTAGTGACATTGACAGTGCGTTTATTGTTTTAAAAACAAAGTATAAAAGTTGAATCTGGTTATTCAAGTTTTACAACTAATCCAAAATTTTGTTTGAGTTGAACTGTTTTAAAATATTTAAAAATGAAAATTATTCTTGCTGGTATTATCCTATTTATTATAGGGTGTTTTGGTATGTTAAGCATAAATTAAAAATGCTAAAAAATAATTTATTTTTTCTTTTTTAGAGCGTACAGCGGTGTTTGCCAGTGATCTACCGCCTTGTGGCGACTGGGAGCAGTACAAGGACGAGCACTGCTACAAACTCTTTGACGGTCTAGTGTCGTACAGCGACGCGGAGAAGGTTTGCCAGGCAAACAACAGCTTACTGGTGTCAATTCACTTCGCCGAGGAGCAAAACTTTCTTAGCAATTACATCTTTACCAAGCGGAAGATCGTCGACAATGTGTGGATCGGCGCCCGGTACGCCGGTGATAAGCTGTACAAGTGGGAGGATCACAGCACCGTACAGGGGTACAGCAACTGGGCGTCGGGCAATCCGAAAAACCTAAGTGATCACTGCGTGGAGATGCTCGCCGATGAAAACTTACAGGGAAAGTGGGCCGACGAGCGGTGTGAAAGGCGAAACGTCGTTCTCTGCCAGCGAATGCCGGTGATCTCCCTTCGGCTACTGGCCGAGACGATGGTCGAGCTAAAACACACCCTCCAGCATACGGTCACTGAGTTAGCGGAAACTAAAAAGGAGTTTGCTCAGCTAAAGAAGGAGACCATCACACTTCCGCTTGGTTTCATCTACGTTCAGCTGCCCAAGGACAAGGGCCCCGGTGAGTTGTGGCCGGGTATGACCTGGACGGACGTCAGCGCAGAGTACGAGGGCGTCTTCTTTCGCGTGGCCGGCGGAAATGCAGCAAGTTTTGGCAAGGTGCAGGAGTATAATGCCCCTCGCCTAGAAATGGTTCATTCAAGTTACGACAATGCTGATGTTATAAATAAGGTTCTAGGTAATCCACCTCTAAATATGACCATTCCAGCTACAGGCTGGAGTGAAGCAATTTACACTGGTAGAAATGGTGGTGAAAATCTTTTTTTTATGAATTTTAAACACAGCAACATTGCCGAGGTGCGGCCAAAAAATATGGCAGTCAAAGTTTACAAGCGAACAGCTTAGCAGTTTGGTATTGCAGTTTGTTGTTTTTGTTTTTGTCAAATCAAATTTTTTTAATTTAATTTTATTGTCATTAACAAAACTGCGTAGTAAAATTGAAAACCGTTTGTTAAACCTTAGAGATGTAAAAATGTGCAGTAAGAAAATTGCAACATTATCACACTAAAACTTATTGTTTTTAATCCATTTTTTACTAATAAATTCCACAAAAAAAATTGTTATAAAAGCTTAAAATTTATTAAATTAGACACATAATGACTATTTGTGCTTTTATTTTAAACATTCAAAAACTTAACAAAAGTTGTTTGCGTATATAAATCCGTTTGTTTTTACTGTTACTAATTACTTTACTAATTATTTTATAAACTTAAAAATGATTTTAATTTATTTAACAACAATTATTACACTTTTAACGTTTTTCGGTAAACAAATTAAAATTAAATAAAAACTGAAGTTAACAAACAATCATTTTCAGAAAACTTAATTTTTATTGCCAGTGATACTTCTCCCTGTGGCAACTGGGAACAGTACAAAGATGAACACTGCTACAAACTTTTTGACGGTTTATGGTCGTACAATGATGCTGAGAAAGTTTGTCACACTAGCAACGCCTCAATGGTGTCAATTCACTACGCAGAAGAACAAAATTATTTAAAAAATTACATTTTTACTAAAAAGAAAATGTGTGGATTGGCGCAAAGTACTTTGGAAATAGGCAGTTTAAATGGACAACAGACAACAGCACTCTGAACGGCTACAGCAACTGGGCAAATGGGAGCCCTAAAAACCTGGCTGATCACTGCGTTGAAATGCTGGCTGATGTAGGCCTGGAGGGTAAATGGGCCGAGGGGCGGTGTGCAAAGAACAACCGAGTCGTTTGTCAGCGGATGCCACTCCCCTCGATTTGGGCGATCTCTCAGGCGGTGATTGAGCTGAAACACAGTTTGCAGCAGACGGCTAGTAAACTGGCACAAACGGAAAGTAAACTGGAAAAAACTGAAAAAGCGCTGACTCAAACTGCTAGCAGTTTAGTTGAAACAAAGAAAGAGCTGTTAGAGAAACTGAATAAGGAGAGCATTCCCATTGGCTTCATCTACGTTCAGCTGCCCAAAGACAAAACCCCGCAGGAGCTGTGGCCCACCATGACCTGGACGGACATTAGTGCATCCTATGAGGGCGTCTTCTTTCGCGTCGTAGGCGGCGGTTCGGCTGCTTTTGGTCAGGTTCAACAATGGAACGCCCCTCGACTAGAGACGGTTCACGTTTCTAACGAGTACTACATGAAAGATAAGTTGCACAGTTACGACGTTTTGAGGAACATTCCAGTCACGGGCTGGAGTGACAGCGTTTACACGGGTGAGGATGAGGGCGCTTTTGGCTACAATGTCAAATTTAAAATGTCAGATATAGCTGAAGTGCGACCGAAAAACATGGCTATCAAGGTTTACAAGCGAACTGCTTAGTTTTTTGTGTTAACTGTTCTAAAAAATAATATATTGTTTTGTTTTATAAAATAAACGCTGTTTTTAAAAATAATAACGATGCAAACTAGTACTTAAACTTGCAAACAATTATAACTAAACTGATAGTGCTCGAGTGTTTGCTAAAATAGTTGGAAAAACGCAATTATGTTGCCTTATTATTAAAAAGACTACTTTTAATACCTTTGATTGATAATTGTTAATAAAAGTTAATACTTATAATTTTAATTTAGATAAGCAAAGTAAAGATTAGTTGTTTGAGATATCCAGTTTTTAATGCGTTGTACAATTTTTTAAAAATCATTTTTGCATTTTAAAATTTAGTAAAAATTTTATTAAAAATTTAAAATGAATTTTATTTGTGTAACTACAATTATTTTATTTTTTGTAAATTTTGGTATGTAAATTAAAATAAAACACAAACATAAAAATAAACAAATTATTTTTCAGACAACTCAATTGCCCTTGCCAGTGATACTTCTTCCTGTGGCGACTGGGAACAGTACAAAGATGAACACTGCTACAAACTGTTTGACGGTTTAAAATCGTTCAGTGATGCAGAAAAAATCTGCAGCACAAATAACAGTTCAATGGTGTCAATTCACTACGCAGAGGAGCAAAATTATTTGAAAAACTACATTTTTACTAAAAAGAAAACCGTTGACAATGTGTGGATTGGCGCTAAGTACAACTCAACAAGTAAACAGTTTAGATGGGCAGACAGCAGCACTCTAAACGGCTACAGCAACTGGGCTGCAGGAAATCCTAAAAACTTGGCTGATCACTGCGTGGAAATGCTGGCAGATGAAAGCTTGGAAGGTAAATGGGCTGAAGACCGATGTGCAAAGAGCAACCGAGTCGTTTGTCAACGAATGCCACTGCCATCGATTTTGGGGATCTCTCAGGCGGTTATTGAACTGAAACACAGTCTGCAGCAGACTGCTAGTAAACTGGCAGAAACGGAAAGTAAATTGGAAAAAACTGAAAAAAGTCTAGTTGAAACAAAAAAAGAGTTGCTCGAAAAACTGAATAAGGAGAGCATTCCTATTGGCTTCATCTACGTCCAGCTGCCCAAGGATAAAGCGCCCAGTGAGCTGTGGCCCAGTATGACCTGGGCGGATATTTCTGCAGACTATGAGGGCGTCTTCTTTCGAGTTGTAGGCGGTGATGCGGCCAGCTTTGGACAGGTCCAACAGGGGAATGCCCCGAGATTGGGCACTGTTCACGGCAGTTTTGATAGCGCAAATGAAATTAACGCTAGACAATTTGCTCCTTATAATTTAACTATTCCAATGAGTGGTTGGAGTGACGGCATTTTTACTGGTGGCGGTTCAGGTACCTACTATTTTCTGAACTTCAAGCTTACCGACACTGGCGAAGTGCGACCAAAAAACATGGCCATCAAAGTTTACAAGCGAACTGCTTAGAATGCTTTCTGTTTGCCAAACTAGCACTAGATTTGAGTCAAAACGCAAAATGTTAAAAGTTTTTTCAGTTAAAACTACAGCACACCAGACTGCGCCACGTTTTACAAAACAAAACTATCATTTTTATACAAATAAAAAAATTGTAAATCTTTTTATAGTAAAACATTTAAATTAAATTTTTAAAAACACAAAAAAATGCAAAACATAATCATTAAAAAGTAAAAAATAGTCATACTAGTCATAACTACTAATTAGTTTACCGGCATTTCAGTACTTTCACCTTCTTCAGCCCTGTCACCCCCATCACCACCACCACCTTCACCTCCATTTTCTGTTTTCACTACCACTTCCTCCTCATCATCAAAAGCCGATGGCTGCCTTTGTTCGTTTGATGGCGGCTCCACATATGACACTCTCTGCTTGATCTGGTCAATCACCCGAGCGTAGATGGCGCACTGCGGCTCGGTATTTCCATTCGAATTTTCATCAGAAGAGGAAGTTTGCTTTTTCACCGGTGCGCTCACTGTACGAGCCAGTCTGATCGGCTTGTACGGCAGTGCTGGATTTGCCGACTTATCAGAACTCCCATTGAGTTTACTCACCGAGTTGATGATTCGAGGCTTGATGATGGCCAGCGTGTGCTGATCACCGTTTTGCAACTGTTGTCGACGACGCAAAGATTCTCTCTTCTTTATTTCACTCGGTTTGGGTGGGAAAAAGGCGATCTCCGGTTCAGCACTTTCTGCTGCTGCTGATGATGTGGATTTTGCTGGCTCTGCTTTTTTGAGCAGTTTTTGTGAGGGTGAAGAAGGGGATGGCTCTGCTTCCACTGGAAAAGAGGTATTAGAGGTTTCAGTGCCATTTTCAATTGCAGTTTCAGAGGAAGGCTCTAAAGATGACGATTCAATTGGTTCAGTGAGAGCTGATGGCTTTTCAGTTTGATGATCTGCACTGACTTCTTTTTCCTTTACTTTTGGTTCAAGTTTTTCATTCTCAGCTGCTGGAACTTCTTTTTCTTCTTCTGCTGTTCCATTTAGAACATCTGCTGCTGCTGTTGTTTTAATTGCTGCCTGCTCATCCTGCTCCTCAATGACGGCATTAATCTCTACAGTTACAACAGTGGTGTTTGGAGAATCCTTCACAACGTCATCCTTTTCATCCTCCTTTTGAGCACCGCCACCGCCAACTTCCTCTTCATCCTTTTTAGCAACTCCTGAGTTTACCACCACCTCATCATCATTGACCTCTTCATTCAGATCGTGCACTGCGTCATCAAGCTCCTCGATGGCCTGATCAAGGCTGTTCAAGGCGTTCTGCGCCGTCTGGTCGAGGCTTTCAGTAGAGGGAGAAGAAGATAAAGGTGAGGGAGTTTCTTGAGGAGTTTCAGGCAACGGTGGCAACTCCTCCTCCTCCTCATCCTCTTCAACTTCAATTCCCACTTCAGCAACTTCTTTCTCCTTTGGTTCATCCTCAACTTCAACTTCAGCAGTTTCATTTTCTGCCGAGTGCTCCATGGTGATGACCACTTCTTCGGAACATTTGAGAGAAGTTGTCTCACTTCCTGCCTCGGTTTCTTTTTGTTGTTCTTTTTCAGCAGCAGCCTTTTCTGCGGCAGCTTCCTCCTTGGCTTTGTTCATACTCGAGCAGAAAGGACAGATGCAGGCAATTCGTTGAACTGGCGGCGAGGGAGCTTTCCGTTTTGGAGTTGTTGAAGTAGAGTTTCGAGAAGCGACAGTGGAGGAGGAGGTGGAGTGGTTTTCTGTCAATTTTGCTGCTGATTTTGTAAAAGCCAAAGTTGCGTAGACGGGATTAGCTGTAGAGTGCAGTTTCTAAATAAAAACAAATTTTAAGATTTTTTTTTGAATTTTGAATCATTTTTCTCATAGCTTACCTCATCTTCAATTTCAATCGTCGTAGAGTCCATCGGTGGTGGTGGAGTTGGTGGAACCTCCGTTTCCTCATTTTCACTGCCGTCATTTTCTTTCTTTTTTTCAAGATCATCTTTGAAGAGCTGATCATCTTCAGGTTTAAGCAGATTCAGCCGTTGAACGTTTGGACTACGTCGCAGAGTGGGCGGACCGACTGGCGCCTCTGTTTTAGCGTTAGAATCAACAGCAGTTTGCCCTTCTTCAGCCGCTTTCAATGATTTAAGCTTCAACTTCTGTTTTGGCTGTTTCCTTTTCTGGTTTTGATTTTGCTGAGATTGATTTTGTTTTTCCCCCTTGAGGTTGCACATCAGACACCAAAGGGTGACGCGGACGAGGAGGATGAGGAGGAAGATCAGCCCAAAGACGGCGAGAATGTGCAGCAGGTAGTACATGATTGTGGCCAGGGTGGAGTCCATTTAGTGGGGATGATCAAGGTCACAATGATAAAAGTTGAGGTACATCAGGTAAATTGAGGAAAGTCTTTAAGAGGCGGTCATTTTCCGGCCCACAAATCGCAATTCACTCAATCAGCAAAACTTGTCATAGCTGAAAAAACATTTACTTTTTGCTGGCGATGATGATGCAAACAAAATGATGAGAACAAAAACTCTAAGATTCAAACAAACTTAAAACCTAATTTTTTTAGCTGCCGGTTTTTTCCTCCGCGGCTTGACTGAGCAAAACAGGCGCCAGCACAGATTCAATTTTTTTCTCTTTCACTTTCTATGGGAATCTTTTGACGAAAAAAAGATAACAGCCTCTCAAGACACTGAGTGTGTTTTTATCAGCAGACATCATCATCATCATCATCAGTAGCTGTACACAACGTTTTACACTTATGTACAGTAGTAAGCGCCTGTACATCAGAACAGCAAAGCTTATCAACAAAGTGCCACTGTGATTGACTGAAGACTGACTGATGAAGATCTGGTGGTGAGAACAAAAGCGTCCACTGTTTACCATTCAACAAAAAGAAGTGCTGCAGGACTTTTGCACAAGTGCAACCAAGAAAGCAATGCCTCCAAACACGGTTATCATCATCATCATCACCACACTTTTTGCATCGACTACAAAAGAAGAAAAATGTAAGTAAAAGTTTTACACCATTTTAAAGCTTGAGCTTTGTTGTTTACACATTATTCTCACGATTCTGAACTCTTTAAAATTAAGATGACTTAATACTCAATTTCAATGCTTTTTCAATGGAAGCTCAGTCAGTCAGTCTTTGTGTAAGTGTGTGTGATTTATTTCAACCGGGAAAACAAGCTCTATCTTTATCTTGTTCTCTCTCGCTTGCCCGGTCGCCTGCCCCCACACAAAAACCGACGCTTGATTAAAGCAAGGGCAATGATTAAGCTTTTCTTTTACTATCACTTCTTCTTAAACTAAAAAAGCAAAGATAAGACGGAACTGATGATGCTTTGCTCTGCTCTGCTCTACTGAACTGCAAAAGAACTGCACACTGTAACATCGACAAAGTAATCAGTGACATCGATGTTGTTTGCAAGCAGCACACAATTGAGTGGCTTTGTGGTGGTGGTGTTGGTGGTGGTGGTGGTGGTGATAGTTCACCACCACCACCAAGTCAAAAGAGTGGTAAATGAAAAGACGGTCTTTTTTTCTCCAACCATCATCAGCGGCAAAGGTGATGATGTCAGTAGTGCATTAGGTGAATGAGATATGAAAGTAAAAGTGACAAAGAGAGAGAGAGAGAGAGGGAAAATATTTAGACAGCCTCTCTAAAAAAATCGGCAAATGGAGTAAGAGTAATAAATGAGTCTGATTTATGAAGAAATTTGTGTCTGCAGTATCTCCCTCTTTTTGATTCAAAACATTTTTTAGTGCGTGTGTTTTCCCGTTTTTATTATTATGCACGTTAGATGCTATGTTTTCATATTTCTTTATTTAGATTACTGACTGCAGATTTTGGTGGTGATTTATTTGACCAATCAGTTTTTTACTCTTAAAAACTGTTCTCTTTCTCTATTTTTGCCGCTCTATTTATTTTTTGAAAGTAGATTTTAAGTACGTTTTAAAGAATAAATAATAAACAACAATAGGCAAAAATCTGACAGCTCATTTTTGTTGGGTGCTTTAAAAGTGGATTGCCTCATATTTCAACTTATTTTGCTTGCTGTAAAATCGTTTTTAGAGCGTGCTTATTTATTATTTATTGCACTTTTAATGTAAAATTTTTATTTTTTACTGCCATTTTAGCCCACGTTAATCACACACACTCACAAAAAAGCATTAAAGTAAATTAATTAAAAGTAAAAAGTAAAAGATTGCTCATCCCTTTACTACTTTTATGAAATAGAGAAATAGTCGCTAAATTATTTGCATTGTTTGCATTGCTCAGCAAAACATCAAACATCATCATTAACCTTGGCCGAATCAGGAAATCTGTCGCAGACAAACAGTCAAAATAAAAAATTTAAAATAATTGTAGGTTTTAAACAAGCAAACTAGCTTTTCTAAAAATACCATTTTTGCCAAAAGTAGCAGTTTTTTAGAGATGACTAAATGAAGACATCAGAAGCAAAGACTGATCAATGATGTTGTTGATGTTGTTGATGATGCTATTTAGTCTAGTACTCAGCCACTCAGCTGTGAACTACCGAGCTACGTCTTTCGATTGTCTTGAGCTCAATGTTCCCACACCACAATGTTTCAATGTGAATGCCAGTCGTGTAGGCGAAACCATTTTCAGTCAGATGTGCCTACCTAGCCACTTGCAAGTTAGAGTTAATTATCTATTATCATGCAGAAAAACTTTTCAACTGAGAAGTTTAGATGTTGAAGTTGGAAAAAGATGCAAAAACAAAAAAGAAAACGATTGTGCAAAAGCCATTTGCAACACTGCATTGTCAAAACTCACTAGGAAGCAAACACTCTGAAAAGAGAACGTGTTGTCAAATAAAAAACTAAAAAATCAGTTTGAAAAAAGCAAAAAAGTACAGAACAAAACAGGAGAAGAACAATTAAAAGTTGGTAGTATATGGACATTATGGAGGAAGGCAATTAAACTTTGATGTTCTGCAACTTTTTTTTTGACTAGAACTGCCATTTGTCTGTCTGACTTTTTGTCTGTCTAAAGCAGACTACTTTTTGTACTACTTTTATTACCGTTGTTACTACCGTTTCCCATTAAGATGAAAGAATACTGAGAACACATCACCGACAAAACAAAAGAAAAAAGTGAGCAGCACATTACCAAACCGTACTGCCAGAAACTTTGAGTAAATTGCCAATTTGCATCAAGCAGACTGTCGATTTTACTTTTTCTTCTTTTAGACGGAACTTAATTTAATTTTGCACTTTTATAGCAATAAAGTCTTTTGATGCACAAAAGAAAGAGAGACATTTGGCTGCAGGCAAAAAAAGTTTAGACAATAGAAAAAACTAACTGTACCGCTCCTAGAGCACAAAACAGTAGGTTCCTTCTTTTTAAAAGAAACAGCAGTATCGATTCTCATCTTTGTGAACATTAAAAATTGGTGTGTCTGAAACAATTTTTCTGGTTCAGTACTGCTGCTGTTGCTGCTGCTGCAACAACACTAGTAATTACCAATGGCAATTGGAGCAGAAGGAAAAACCTTTTTGGACTTTTGGCCTGAAAAGACAATAGTGTACAATTTAGTGAGCAGAGAGCAGACATAAGATTCAAAAAAAGATGAAAACAGAAAAACTGATGATTATTTAGCATGACACAAAAGACGTGCAATTTTGACTGAAAATGGAGCTAGAATTACATTTTTTTGGCCAAATTTAGGACTTCTTTTTGTTTGAAAACTTTTTTCTCTGTTTGCAGGTCAAAAAAAGACGGTTTGACAGTTGTACATTTTGCTGCTGATGCTGCTGCTGTTTCCATTTTAAACTTCAATTCAATTTTTAGCTTTCTTTTTCTTTTTTTTCAATGTGTCATTTGTAATATTTGTCAACAATCTCTTTTTGCTTTTTTACATTTGACATTGGTAGCTCATTTGCTTGCTATTTATGTTTGTTTATTTGTTTTATTTGGGCTTCAGTCAGCGCAGCTGCACAGCAGTAGCAACTGAGTTTTCACCACTAAACAGCAGACACTGTACAGTGAGTCATTTGCCAACAGTAAAAACTCAGTCGTCTTCTTTTTCTTCTTCTTTTCCCCTTTTTTCAAGGCCAACTTTGCCGTTGATGTGTGTTTGTATTCAAATGGCTCGATGTCGTGTCTTGTTTTGTTCTTCTGTTCTAGAAGAAAAAACGACGAAAGTAGCTTTGATTTATTCCCTACTATTTTGCATTTTTGCACTGAACAAAAAAATGTGAAGCACTCACTGCACTCAAACTGCCTGTGTTAAATAACAGTAATGGGAGGTCTTGAAAATAGAGGGAAAAATAACAAAACTAAAAGTAAAGTAAATCATGGCAAATCATGAGCATTCAGTCACGATAGGCGGATTTGATTTGGCGGCCAAAAGAGAAAAGGAAACGTTTAATTTCATTCTCTAAGATTTAAATTTTGCGCCCATATATTACCAAACTGAGTGACTGGCTGGCTGATCTTGATTAGTGATTGATATGTCGAGTGAAAGATCACATTTTTCGTTATTTTATTTTGTTATCAAACTTTTTCTCAAGGAGGAATTTTGAGCAGGAAAGGAAACTTTGTTTCACATTTTGAAAATCATGTGTCTAACATGAGTGTACACTGACAGAAAAATGCTAATAACTCTTTTGGGTATTGTCTTATTGTAGCGATTTTCATGTTCAATCAACCACTTTTTTTATTTGTGAATTTCATTAGCATTTTGTGTTAAATGAAAAACCTCAAGTTGGTGCTACTTTGTTTTAAATTTTTAGACAGAAGGCCACATTTTCTTGTTTTTGATTTTATTATTTAGTTTTTAATCAATTTTTACAATAAAGCCTTCATTGATGAATGTCAGCATTCAATACTTTAGTTAAAATTGAAAATATCTTTGAAAATCATGGTAAAATACGACTTTCATTTGCATCGCTAAAATGGCTCTAAGTTTAGTTTTATTTTTTTTCTCCTTTGCTCAAGTTAAACTTAGTAATTTGTTATTCAAAAAACAAAATCTAGAAAAAATAGTTTTTGTAAGTAATTGTCTTTTTATGCCTAATCAGCACAAAGCTGTTGTCCATTTTCAATTCTACAAAGCACACTAGAAAAAAATCCCTGGACGATGAAATGTGGCAGCAGCGTTTTTTTGGACATCAGCAAAGCTAGCTAAACAGCACATTTTTTGCCAACTTTGCTAGTGTCTAGTCATCACAGCAAACTCACAAACACATCTCTGACTCCTGC